GTGGCTTTCCAAGTTGTGAGTCCAACAACTGTGGGACACAGACGCATGGGTAAGGATGACCTTGACAAGGAGCCGATCGGCTCCATTAGAACAGTACCTGGAGTCGTAGGCTGCTTGGAGCCTTCTTCAGTTGCACACTGTGTGAGTGGAGACAATACCTCAACCATCCACGCTGGATGTGGGTGCTGGGCCCAGTGACCTCCAATGCTCACTGAGCCTTGGGCTCTCTCTGCATCCGAGGTGTATGGGATTCTGAGGTCCCTGTCCACACAGCTCCAAGCATCTGAGCAGGAGGAACAATGGGATTTTGTAATTTGTAGCCCTGGCCTGTTTTGTTTTGTTTGGTACCGGGTATCGAATTCGGGACCTTGCACTTGTGAGGCAGGAGGCGGAACCACTGAGCTAGATTCCCGGCCCCCTGGCCTGTGATGGATGCAGCCATTGTGGAAAACCCTCTCCAGCTGCCAGGCTGAGCATGACCTGCTCCCTTGACCCTGGCTGCAGGGCTTCTAAAAAAGGACCTGAAAACACTGGGAGTAATAGGCTTCGAAGCAGGTATTCTGCAGGCACAAGAATGCCATTCATATACTGAGCACCAAAGAGGCACTCCCTCAAATTCTCACCTGGACCCTGCAAGATTAATCCTATTGTCTATTTTATAGGATGAAAATGTGGCTCACAGAGGTCAAATAAAAGTCAAAGGTCACATGGCTACTAAACTGCACAGCAGAATTAAATTCTGACCTGACTCACTCCAAGGCCACTCTCCACCTGCTGCAACACGTTTAGCAGTAAAGTTCCTTTGGCCTGGGATTAGTCCTTCTGTCCCCATTTCCCATCTTGACTCTCATAACTTCTCCCTTTCAACTGGCTTCTTCCTTCTGGCCAATAGTCATGCATCCTCCTCCAATCTTAAAGCATTGAGCCAGGCATGATGATGCACATCTGTAAGCTCAGCTACTTGGGAGCTTGAGGCAGAAGGATCGCAAGTTCAAGGCCACCCTAGGCAACTTAGAGAGACCTTGTCTCAAAACAAAAGGTGAAAAGTGAGGGGATGTGGCTCAGTAGTAGAGTACCTCTGGGTTCCATCCCCAATGTCACACACACAAAAGGCAACACATACAAACTCCCTTAGCTCCATGTTCTCCCTCCTCCCCTTCACTCCACACTCACTGTCTCCATTGACTTCCCCAAGCCACTGCACTTCATGAAAATGACTCTGAGTAGACCCCTATGGGCCCTTTCATGACCAAGCTCTGTTAGTAGAGCTCAGTCTTGGCAAAAGGTGGCATTTCTGACCATTTCCTCCATGTCACAATGTCCCCCTGCCTCCATGTCTAGGGCACCCTCTCTCCTGGTTGACAAGTTGGCCAACAGTCTCCACCTCTGCAGCCCATTCGATAAACATGGATTTCTCTCTTCTATGCAGAGAATTCCTGGCTCATTCTCTACAGTCCTGGACAGTCCCTCTGTACACAGGGTCTCTACTCTTAGTCCTGACGTCAGGTCCAAGCTTCAGTGTCACAGACAGAATTTCTAGACATTACCCCTGGGTGTGCAATGGGCCTAACCATACATTAGAAATATTTTTCTTTTTGTTTTTATTTGAGACAAGGCCAAACAAACATTCCTCCTGCCTCAGTCTCCAGAGTGCTGGGATTATGTAAAGGTATAGGCCACTGTGCCTGACTCTAACACATTTGAAACTGGATTCATTTTCTTCCCCTTAATCTGCCTCTCTTATATTCTCCAGCTCGGTTGGTGTTATCCTCTCTCCCTCTCCCACCCAAGCATGGCATTCAGATAACCCATCCATAACCCAAGCAGGGAACCTAGTCTCCTGCCAACCTTATGCCCTCAAAGCTCCATGCATGCTGCACCACACCACTCCCACATCCCTTTCCCACTACCACTGTCTGAGGTCAAGGGCTTCAGGGATGGCTGTGCTCACTCCCAACGTGCCATGCTCACCTCCAGCCTCACTCCTGCCCACCCATCCCTAAATCCACTGTAGCTCGAATGACCTTCCTCACATGGAAAGCTAGTCTTGTTCCTCCTGGCTTACAGCCCTCTAAGGACCCTCCATTGTCTTAAAGATCTGGCCTCTGTGCACCTCTCCAGCCTGGTCTCCTATCATCCCCACAAATCCTGCACTCTGCTTAGGGCAAAATCCCTGCAGATCACAGCTCCTCCCTTCACTTTCAGCTGTTGCTACATCTGCCTGCAACGTCTTCCCTCGGACTCTTCCCCTGCTGAGTTCCTGTGCCCCCTCAAAGACCCACACCCCTCCTCCAGAAGCCTTCTTCACCTCCTCAGCTGAGCCCAGCTGTCCTGCTCTCCACTGCCCACATACCTACCATGACATCTGCCGCAGCCCCTGCCACCTGCCAGCCATGTCTGTGTAGAGGTGTTCCTTCTCCCCTGAAGGAGCCGAGGCTGTGCCATGTTTGCACTCAAAGGGCATGACTTTGGGGTGAGGTACCCCACTTGAACCCTAGCTGATATTTGTAGAATCATGCAACATGACAGTCAGAAACAAAGCCCAGTTTTGTTGATAAAAACCCAACCACTTCATCTCTTCAGCCTTGGTGTATTGAGTATCTTCTCAGGGTCAGGTCCTCCTGGGCACTGGCTTCCAAGATGCATGAAACACTGCTCTGGTCCTCAGGGAACTCAGGGCTCAGTGGTTAAGAAACCCTGGTAAGAGCATCTCTGGCTCCTTCTGAGTAGGTTAGTGGCCTCAGGGTGGATAAATGTGTGCACTAAATTTTTATTGTGTTGTGAAATGAAGGAGACTCTGTCCCACCCCTATTAGACGTTGTGACTGAGAGTCAAGAGGACTTACGGGGCCTGTACTTAGGGATGTGGTCTGTAACATCTCCAAATTAAACTTGGAGCTGAGAATCGTGACATCTAATATTGACTGCCAGGGACTGTTGAAAAAAACACTAACCTTAGCACCACAGATTCCTGTGTGGTATCTCCCAGCTGGCATTCATGTTTACATTCGTATCTGTATCTGGAGAGCTGTACCTTTATCAGTAAATATTCAAACACCTGTGTAGAAATAACTGAAATGAAATAAATCCATAAGGGGTTTGCATTTCAGTTACAGTCTTGTGTTGTAAGCCAGCAAGCTCCTTAGTTGGAACACAATTCTGACTTGGCCATCTTCAGATACAAAGAGCAGTGCAGATATCCGCTCTCATTTTAATTCAGCAGAATTTGGTAATGGTACCTATCTTAAGTCGTATGAAATAGAATAAAATGCTCCAAGCTTCACAACGTTAATACGGTAAGTCTGTTTCTGAGTTTTCAGAGGAGCTCATTCATTGAGCACAAAACCAGTTTAAATCAGCGTACGAAGCAAAAATTTTAAGTCCCAGTTTTTAAAAACTATTGCTCGGTTTCAGGAGAAGCATGCCTTTCGTTGGCACGGATATCAGGAGAACAGGACTAAAAACAACTTCAAAGATAGTCACACACACATCCCAGAGCATTCCGATGGAACACCCTCTGTCTTTCCCATATGTGTCGTGGAAAACCGGGCCAGAACGATCTTGTGGAAACTTCCGGATGAAAACAGCTAGTCCGCTCTCCCCAAGTATGAAGCCGTCTAACGGAAACCCAGCCCGGGCTGCAGCTCTTTCTCTGTCCCTCCACCGACGCCCGGGGGGCCAATCCCTCCACTCAGCCCCATGTGGCAGAAGAGACTCCAGATTAGCAACCCAGGAGTCACGTGGAACAATTTACGCCTTCCCCGTACTAGTGTTAATCACCCCTCCCCCTCCAGCCTGCATCCAGGCGTCGCTGCGGTGTCTCCTTTGCAGAGTGTGCATTCCCCAAAGCAGATTGGGGGGGGGGGTGGCTTCTTTGTTCTTTCACCCGGTAAACTCAGCTTTATATAATTCTCCACCCCTCACCTATGCTCCAAGTCTACACATTTCTCTGGTTGAGACATTCCTTGTTCCTGACCCTAGGCTAAGTGCCTTTCTCGTATTATTTAAGTCTCGCAGCAACTCTTGAAAGTAGGTGCTATTATCCCTATTTTTCGTATGAAAAGAACCGAGGCCAGAGAATAACTTGGCGCAGGCAGATTCTGAGCCCAAGTTGGGCCTGACGCCAAAACTAATCCTCTATCATTACTTTTCATGTTGCAAAAAAATAACTAATTCTTATCGAGCAATTAGTATATGTCAGGTATTGAGCGAAGTATTTTTCCAAACTACGCTCAGACAAGTCTGCCACTTAACATGGACGTGATCTTGAACAAGTTCCTTACCCTCTTTTTGACTCAGTTTCTTTGTCTGCAAAGTGAGGCTAAATGTGAAAGGCCAATTAATGTATGTAAAGCCCTTAGAACAAAGACAAGTATTAATAATCCTTGACATCGTCGCCTTAAAAAAAAAAAACCCACCATTCCTGCTTCCTAGGTTCCTATTTCCTAGGTTCCTAAGGGAGGAACCTAGGCTTGGTGAGGTTAAGGAACAAAGCGGTCCAGGTTGCTGGCGCCTCCTGCAGCACAGACGCTTTAAATCCTGCAGTCGTGCGGGATCCAGGCTCAACGCAGGTGAATTACACCTGCAGGTGGGAAACGTGCGTTGCAGCAGAACACGCAGTAGCCAAGGAAGCCCCGAGGGGTCGGGATTAATGAACACACGACTCCGGATTTTACGTGCAAGGGTGCCTGGTGTCGGGGATCTCACCAGACCCTACAAAAACGCTCTGCGCAAGGCACTAGCACGCGGGGGCGGCTGTCCTTCTGGAGCCCCCAGCCCGCGCGCACACACGCGCGCCCGCACCCGCACCCGCACCCACTGGCGCGGAGCCTCCCGCCCGCATCCCCCGCCCGCAGCGCTCCAGGGCGGAGTTTCCTCCTCTGCTCATTGTTCGTGGGCCAGCGCCCGCCCAGCCGCTGCCCCGCCCGGTCCGGCCTGGGCTGCGGCGGGCGCGCTCCTGGGGAGGGGCGGGGGCAGGCGCGAACCGGACGGGGCCTGAGTCTGAGTCGCTGCAGCTCCCGCCCGGCCGTAGTCGCGCAGATACCGCCCGGGACGCAGCCGCCGCCGCCGCCGCCGCCGCCGCCGCCGCTCTGCCGCTGGCTCTGCGCCCTAGCTCGACTCTGCGGCACGGGGGAGGGGCCGCCGGAGCGCACTCGGAGCCTCGGGCCACTGCCAGGCAGCGGGAGCCACCGCCAGGCCTCCCCGAGCGGCGCCCACGCTCCTGCCGTCCGGACGCGCGGACCCTGCGCCGCCCGCAGCCACCTGCTCCGGGCCCGGAGGAGAGGACACGATGCACACTGCGCTGGCGCTCTCGGCGCTGCTGCTTGTGCTGCGATCGCCACTTGCGTCGCTCTCCCAAAATGACGGTGAGTAGCCAAGCCAAGCCCCTCCGGGACCCCCTACCGCGTCGCCCCTACACCCACGGCCGGGCGGGGCTGCGGGGAGGCCCTCTGCACCGCCTGGTCCGGTCCGGAGCATCCTCTGTGCCCGCGGGCCACACGCGGAGCCCTGACCTTGCACCATCCGAGCTCCCTCCGCTCTCGGGACCGCCGCAGGTGCCGGCTCGCGCGTAGAGTCCCCCCAGACTTGCTGACTGGGGCAGAGGAGCGCACTGTGGCCAAGGGGGCGCGTGGGCAAAAGCAGCGCGCGGGGCTGAAGGGGTTTGCGTGCCAGAGAGGGGAAACTTAGGGTACTGGGAAGCGCCTCTCTCCCGCGGAACCACGAGGGTAGGGTAGTCCTTTTCTCCGTGTTGGGAACGAGGGACCGTATTGTGCAGTCTCGGTTGATTCCAGGCGGAGCGTCAGGCCGGCGGCTCAGGAGGAAGTCCCCGAAACAGGTGAAAGGCTTCCAGTAAGGGCCCAGGCGGGCGCTGTGCTTACTGGTTTGAAGAGCTTTTTCCACGTGCGCAGGCTCAACCCACCCGAGGTCGTGCTGGGGCAAATGGAGGGGAGCGAGGGGACCTTTCACCGTCCCAGTCACCTGGCAGAGGGGAACTCTGCTTTCGTGTCGCCAAAGGGACAGATCCCTTCTCTGGGAATGGCCAGGATGGTGGGACCCTCTCCGACCCCTTTGTGTAAACAGGAATGTTTCTCATGAAAGAGGCTTGGGCTGCATCTCAGAAACATCCTAGAAACGGCGCCTGCCGCTCTTTTTTTCCTCTTTTATTTTCTTTTAGAACACGTTTGCGATAAGGATGAGTACATCATCGTTGGGAATTGGCACACATACATAATCCATCTTAATCCTTTTTTACTTCCTCTCCCTTCCCTCCGCTCTTCCTCTGTCCTGCTCATGTGAGAGAACCGCACCTTAGAGAAACCCACACTCTTTCTTCTAAAGTGAAAGGTTATTTTCTCTTTGAGGGGGACAGGCGGTGGCTGCAAACCCAACCAGAGGGAGCGTCCCAGAGCCCTTGGGAACAGCTAGAGCCTCAGCCCAGGAGAAGCATTCTGCATATTCTCTTTTTCCCCACCTGAGCTCTTGTCTGCAAGGAGAAGGAGGTAGGGGTGCACTATAAGGCCGGGAGGACTTTGGTGACAGCCCAGACAGGGAAAGGACTCTGCTTTTGCTGGTGCTCCTGGGGTGGAACTTGCTTCTATGGGAAGGGGACGATGAGAGGGTACCACAGTGAACCTTGGTGGGGGGCCCTGGGCCTCTGGTAGGTGGATGGGTGGGCCAGTGGGTGGGCCCAGACTCTGTTAGCCTGGCCTGAAGAGGGAAAGGTGCTCCTAGTGGGGGAAGGTGCAGTCTGAAGAATGGGTGGGGAAAGCTTTGAGGATGGTGGTTTTGCAGATTTGCTCCATCCTCCAGGCTGAGAAGGTGCTGGAGCATGCTGGCTCTCAGCCCTGGTTTCAGGGCAGCAAGACTTCAGGGTGGGCCTTCACCTACAACTTTTTGGTGGAGCCGCTTAGCACCACCCTGAAGCAAAATAGTTAGTCCATAGTGCTTCTGAGCCTGACGGGGCTGAGCCACCCTATCTTGGAGGTGGACGAGCCCGCTGTTTATCCATCAAGGGGGGATGCATGCTCCTGAGCCACCAGTGGGGAAATCTCCAAGCCCTGCTCGATGCTAGCCTCAAGGCTGGCTTTCTTCCAGGTACCTGGGCACTTCGCAGAAACCTTATCTCTGCCATGAAGCCCTCCCCAGGCCCAGCATAGGGAGGGCCCTTGGTAGGAGCTTGATGTGCAAAATGTGTCCACCTCCCAACCTCTGCCCCAATCAGCAAGTCTCTCAGCCTTTTGGAGCCTTAGGCACCCAATGCCCCAAATGCCTTTATTACAACCTACAGTACTATGGGGAAGTGCTTTGAGAAGGGCACAGAAGCAAGAGAGGATGAGGATGAGGAGGAGGACAACGACGACGATGACAGTGACGATGACAACAATGAAGATGGACCAGAAAGGCTAAAAGGTGCAAGCTGTCCTGAATTTGCACCCTTCTTTGGGGACTCAGGGAGGCTGGCCCCATGAGGCTGCTGTCATCAGGAATGGCATAGACCCCTCAAGCTGCTGGAATTCTGCAGTTTGATGCAAGACAACATAGGCTTATAGTGCAAGTCGCTGGGAATTATCCCCAGACAGGTCCCCTGGAGCTTACCTTATAATACTGGTAGATCCTGCAGCCTCCTCAGTAAACAGTGTTAAACTCAGGGCCTTTGCAGTGCTTTTCACTCAGCTATCCTTTTGGCTGAAGCATGTGGCAAGTCATACCTCTGAACCTCAGTTTTTTTTAATCTGTGAGATAGAATAAAAGAGTGGAAAGGACCTCTAGTTCCACCATTATAAGATTTCTGGTCGTCTGTGTTCCTTCAGCTGCTGAAGGAACATACTGATTTAGTACTACCAATCTGATAGCCGCTTGATGGATAAATATGAGAACAAGAAAGGCAGCTTGGTGCGGGGGAAACACTCAGACTAGGTCAGACACTTCTGTGCGGCCATCGATAAGGTAGTGAACCTCTCCAAGCCTCAGTTTCCTCCACAGAGTGATTGCAAACCTGCTTTTCAGCCTGCTCTGAAGACCAGCAGGACTGTGTAATGGGCTTGGCATTGAGTCAACTCCTGGGCAGCAACAGTTCTGATAATTAATGAAGCATATGCATGGAGCACCTGATGGGTTTAAGGCACCCCAAAGCATCAGAATTCTGCTGATGCTTCTGGGCGTCAGCAGCTTATGTAGCAGTAGATCTAGAAGCCTGGCTAGGGAGAGGGAGGAGCATGTGAAAGAACCATGAGCTTTGGAGGGGTGGTCTGGAGAAAGCTTCCTGGAGGAGGTGGGGTTTCCGTAAAGGAATTTTAAAATAAGGGTCTAGTGGGGATAGGAGACCACCTCCTAGGGTGGCTGAGGGGGAATCAGTTGTACATGTGGGAGAGATGCAGGTTAGGGACCACGGCCTGTGATGGGAGTCTTGGGGTGGGGTCAGTGAACTGCAGGCAGGCACTGGGGAGAGATGAGCTATCCAAGCTGAGAGAAGGTTCCTGGGGTGGACAGGCAGGCACAGGTATTCTCAGCAGGTGTTTTGTGAGACTAGGCTCATTTTGAGGCAGGAGCAGGCTTGAGGCAGGCCTGAGCAGGGTGGTCTCTGACACAGCACCAGGTGGCAATGTGGCCAGACCTGTGGGGCGTGGCCACCCAGGGAGGGGCAGAGGCTAGCAACCTCAGGGTCCTCAGGGGTCCTTGGAGTCACCCTGGGCCTGGAGAAGGCAGACAGCTACCCTCCTGCCTTTTCCTCAAGAGTTTGAAGGAAGAAAGGGACTCCTGCTGGCAGTGTTTGACATCTAGCTGATGGGGGGCGGGGGAAGCACCCTGCAGGATTAGAGTGGGGAGGTGGTTTCCTAGATGCAACTACATTGTATTCCACAGTTATCCGGGCAGTAAAGGGCAGGGCTATCTCTTCCAGAGTCCCAGTAGTGTCCCAGCTGAGTGCCAGACTGCTGATTTGGAGGAGCTGACCCTGGCCCCTGGCTTCAGCCCTCAGGAATGGGTGGACCAGACCAGCTTGTGTCCTGGGCCTCTGTGTCTGGCCAGTGGGCTCCTTGACCAGCAGGCAGAGCTAGCAGGAGCAGATGCTGGGAGTATGGGCTCTGGGCTTGGGATCCAGAGCTGCATGACATAGGTGGCTGCTATGACATCAGCTTAGTGCTTAGCTCAGGCTTAGACCTCTTTCCTACGTTCTGACTGGTTTCCTATTTGTGCCTCTGGGTATGAGACAGGGGACTGCTCAGCCAGTAAGGTTTCCTATCATATCCTGTTCCCGGGAACACTGAGAAGTTGGGCAGTCTTTTTATCATGTGTCCCATCCGCTTGAGGGGCTGTTAGAAGATCAAAGGCAGACCGGGACGGTGACTCTAGGGGCCACAGATGCAAAAGGACTATAGGTATTCTAGTGAAGAAAACCCTTCAAAAAGACCTCCATGAAAGATCCATTACCAGGAGCCTCTGTATATTTGCAGCAGTGTTGCCTATAAGGTTCCTCCAGCAGCAGCCTGCTGCTGTTCAAAATGGAATCCAGTGGCCAATGGGTAATTTCCACAGCATTTCTAAGTTATCTGGAAAGTCATAGGGCACAGAATTCTCAAGCTGGAGAGCCTTCTGGAAATCATCTGCTATTACCACTCATTTTCCAGATGAGGGTGTACAGACTGGGGAGGTGGGTCCCTTGCCCAAGTTCCTTGTAGCTCCCAAAGGTCTTGCTAGGAGTGTGTACAGGTGTGACCATGGTCACTGGTAACAGAACTTAGCCTTTTCCACACCAGTTCTCTCCTGAGATTTGAAGAAACTCAGTGATGGTGACAAGTCTAGAGTTGTGTCCAAACTCTTCCCACCTCTCCACCATCGGGGTAAATGGAGGATTAGAGCCATCTAGTTGCTCTAGAGCTAGACTCTCCAAGAGATCCTCAGGTATTGAGTCACACACAGAGTTGCCGCCATGTGTTGTGACTGTGTGTGTCTGTGTCTCTCATTGGCTGTGAGCCATGTAGTGTCCACAGCATCCATTCAGGTGAATGCCATGAATAGGTGGTCAAGAAACTCTGGTGAAAGAAAGGCTGAGGCAGAAAGATTGCATGTTTAAAGCCAGTCCAGGAAACTTAATGAGACGGTGTCTCAGAATAAAAAATGGGGCTGGGGATGTAGCTCAGGGGGTAGAGCACTCGGGTTCAATCCCAAGTACCATAAAAATAAACAAGAGAGAAGCCCAAGAGGAGGGCTGCCTTATATCTTATATAAAATTCCTCTCTCTATCCCCTTTTTCCCCTTTTCAAAAGGAAGAAAAAGAAGGAAAGGAAGGAAGGAAGGAAGGGAAAGAAAGGAAAGAAAGAAAGAAAACAGAGAGAGAGAAAGGGGAGAAAGGGAGAAAGAAAGAGAG